TAGACCCCACGCCGCCCTTCCACCCCGTCGAGCTCCGTCAGCAGCTGATTCACGACGCGCTCGCTGCCGGGGTTCGCCCGGTCGGAGCCCCGCCGCGGGGCGAGGGCGTCGAGCTCGTCGAAGAACAGCACGCACGGGGCGCTCGCCCGGCCGCGGGCGAAGACCATCCGCACACTCCGCTCACTCTCCCCGACGAACTTGTTCAACAGCTCCGGGCCTTTGATGGAGATGAAATTCGCGCCGGATTGGTTCGCGATCGCCTTCGCGACCAGGGTCTTCCCGCAGCCCGGGGGGCCGTAGAGGAGGACGCCGACGGGGTGGTCGAGGCCGAAGCGCGCGTGCAGCCGCGGCGCGCGGATCGGCTGCAGGACGCTCGTCAGCAGCTCCGCGCGGACCTCCTCGAGGGCGCCGACGTCCGCCCAGGTGACGTCCGGGATCGTCGTGAAGCCCTCCCGCATCGCCGACGGCTGCACCCGCCGCGTCGCGGCCTTGAGCTCGTCGAACGTAACGCAAAACCCGGCGAGGTCGGCCGTCTCCCCCTCCCCCTCCCACTTCCTCTCCTCCTCCGCCGCGCCCGTTTCCGCCTGTTCCCACCCGCACAACTCCCGCGCCTTGCGGCGAATCGCGAGGATGCAGGCCTCCTTCACGAGCAGGTGAAGATCCGCGCCGACGTAGCCAGGGGTGAGGTTCGCCAGCTCGAAAAAATCCACATCGTCGGCGAGGTTCAGCCGGGCGCAGAGGATCCGCAGAATCCCCACCCGCTCATCCAGCGACGGGATCCCCAGCGCGATCTCGCGATCGAACCGACCGGCGCGACGCAGCGCGCTATCCAAGGCCTCCGCGCGATTCGTCGCGCCCATCACGCACACCACCTTATGCTCCCGCCGCCACGCCTGGGCGAGCTGATCCATGCAGGTGAGGAGCTGCGCGACGATGCGGCTTTCCATCCCGCGCTGCGCCTCCTCCCGCCGCCCCGCGATGGTGTCGATCTCGTCAATAAACACAATACTCGGCGCGGCGGCGATCGCGTCCGAAAAGAGGTTTCGCAGCTTTGCCTCGCTATCCCCGCTGATCCCGGTGACGATTTCCGGCCCGGTGAGGTAAAAAAGGGGAATTTGAAGCGACCCCGCGATCGCGTGCGCGAGTTTCGTCTTACCAACCCCAGGGGGCCCATGCAAGAGCACCCCACACGGGGGATCCGCGCCGAGAAAGGTGAACAACCGCGGCATCCGAATCGGCAGCTCGATAAGCTCCTTGATCACCGGCAGCTCCTTCGCGAGGCCGCCCATATCGGCGAGGGTGATGCCCGGGATCACGCCAAGAGGGGGGTCGCCGGATCGCGCGGAATCCCCCGCGGCGTCGCCACCGCTCGTCGTTTGCCGCTTTGCCTCGCCGCCGGGATCGGCCTCACGGCGATCGCGTTTGGACGCGGGGAGGCCGCTCGTCGTATCCTCCTCATAGGGCGACCGCGGGGCTGCACTCCCCCCTCCCCCTCCCCCTCCCCCTCCACCCCACCGCTTGCCGCCCCCTCCACGGCGATAATTGTTCGGCGACTGCCGGGCTAGATGCTTAAGCTTGCCTTTCAATCGGTCGCTCAGATCGGACATGGCGGTCCAATACCAAAAATCAATCTCAAGAATGTCTATCTATAGGTAGAGCTATAGGTAGATGTATATATGTATATAGATAGATAGTTCAATCTGAGATGTAATAGGCGAGAGCTCACTTTATTGCGTAATTTTAACTTTATAGATAGCGAAAAGCATCCCACACCCCAACTCTTAAAAAAAAAAAGGTCAAATAAATCATGGGAAGACAAAATCATTCCTTTCCTGGCACGGATAGTTGTTAAATTCCGTTCCAAATATAATCGATCAATGCTGGAAAATAGAGGACATCATTAGGGATTCCTATGTTTTTACTAGCGTCTGATTTTTTAGACCATTCCATATGCAAGAAAATTATTAAATAATAATGAAAAAGGAAATGTGAACCTAGCATTACTCCAATAGAAGCTAGTTTTAGACATATATAATATTGCATGCATTGGTTAAGGTCACAATTTTTGGAACCCATTCCCACTTTTTAAGCTTCGAATGAAAAGCATGAACACTGTTAAAAATAAGATATTTAAATCATAGATAAACAAACCCATAACTATATAGATAGACAAACAGGTATATCTATATCTATGCAGATATATACGTATATATCCTTATCGAACGTTTTAACGACTCACCGCCATTCCACATCGGCGAGTGTTTTGCCCTCCTGCATCAAGTCCCATAGGGGAGACATCGCGCGCAGCTGCTCCACCGTCCGGACGCACTCCTCGATCGTAATATCGATCTCCCGCTCCGTCGTAAACCGCGAGATCCCGAATCGGATGGAGGTGTGGGCGTTCTCCGCCTCGATCCCGAGCGCGCGGAGCACATAGCTTGGCTCCAGGGAGGCGCTCGTGCAGGCGCTCCCGCTCGACACCGCGATGTTCTTCATCCCCATCATCAAACTCTCCCCTTCGACGCAGGAGAAGCTCACGTTGAGGCTGTTTGGCAGGCGCTGCTCGAGATCGCCGTTCACCTCGATATGGGAAAGTTTGGCTTGAAGGCCGTGAAGCAGACGTTCGCGGAGGCGGAGGGTGTGGGCGTGATCCCGCGCCATCTCCTCCCGCGCGAGCTCAAAGGCCCGCCCCATCCCCACCACCAACGCCGTTGGGAGGGTTCCACTCCGCACCCCGCGCTCTTGCCCCCCCCCACTTACGGGCGAGCGCAGCCGCACACGAGGGCGACGCCGCACATAAAGCGCCCCCACCCCTTTCGGCCCGTACACCTTGTGCCCGGAGATGGAGAGGAGGTCGATGTGGTCGGCCTCGACGTCGATCGGGATCTTCCCGGCGGCCTGCGCGGCATCCGTGTGGAAGAGCACCTTCCGCCGCCGACAGATCTCCCCGATCGCGCGGATCGGCTGCAGCACCCCGATCTCGTTATTCGCGGCCATGCAGGAGACCAGGCACGTCGTCGGGCGGATCGCCTCCTCGAGGACGCGCAGGTCCACCAGCCCGTTTCGCCGGACCGGGAGGTAGGTGACCTCGAACCCCTCCATCTCCAACGCGCGGCAGGAGTCCAGGACGCACTTGTGCTCCGTTTGCACCGTCACGAGGTGGTTTTTCCGCGCCCGGTGGAAGTGGGCCACGCCTTTTAACGCGATGTTGTTCGACTCCGTTGCGCCACTGGTGAAGAAGATCTCTTTGGGGTTCGCGTGCAGCAGGGTGGCGACCTGCCCCCGCGCCCACTCCACCGCCTCCTCGGATTGCCACCCATAGGCGTGCGAGCGGCTGTGCACGTTGCCGTACTGCTCCGTCAGAAAGGGCAACATGCTATCCAGCACGCGAGGATCCAACGGCGAGGTCGCCTGCACGTCGAGATACATCGGGCGTTTCGGCGGGAAGACGAGCGAGCAGGGCGTGTACTTCGACCTGGCGCCTTTCTCCACACAGGCGCGGGTGAGTTTGGGGGCATTATTCTCCACCGCCTGCAGAACCACCCGCGAGAGTCGAAGCATCGAGAGGGGAATAAGGAAGGGGGAAACCAAAGGGGATAAGTGACGCTTTCGTTCGATAAGATCCGGACCACGCGTGAGAACGGAGGCAACTCTTCGCTGTGCCAAAGTGTTCAGTAAAGATGGTTATCAATTAAGTGATATATCGAATACAATTTTATACTATAACAGAGAAAAAATCTACAACAGTGAAAGCGTATAAGCAAGATTAAGCTAAATTAGGCACTTTGCCGTTTTCGTCGTCTAAACACTTCTAGTCAAGACGATTGAAAGAAAAGCAATGAAGCGAAAAAGACTTAGGGGAGGAGGACCAAGGTTGGGAGATTCACAGCCGAAAGGCTATCAGGAGAGGTCCACTCACGCGCACAAGCACTGATCCGAATAAAAGGCTAACCTCTCGTACAAGCTTAAGCTGTTCGTCGCGTATTAGCGCCTTTTACACAGTTTAATCTAAACAACAACAATAACAACCAAAAGAGGCCAACCCCCGAACGTTTACACCGACTCTGGGATCACGTGTTGAGACTTCATGAGCCCTAACAACGCGCCAATCGACTTGGTCTTTACGAAACCCTTTTGACTATATCTTATTTTTTCTTTAGCCCACATTCAAAGCGGACAGGATACAGAAACCACGAAAAAAAATGAAAACCAACAACCGAAGGTACCATCGAGTGTAATACTACCACAATGCTTCAAGACCGCCGCCCTCCGCGTCTATGTCGACGCCATCCGTTGCTTCATCCCCTTCGTAGCCATTCACCGCCGGACTTGGTTGATACCAACGCGCAAACGGATCCATCAGCCTCGTCAACCCGACCACCTCCTGCACGATGAACACAAACCTCCGCGCGAGGTCGGAGGTAGGCAGGGCGAAAACGTTCTCCCGCTCCTGCCTCGCGCGGAGGTCCGCCAAGGAAGGACTGAGAAATCGCGCGGAACCCCCATCACGCTCGTCATCCGCCACGGACGCGAAGAACCAAGGAGACTCGTAGGCGTGCTTCGTTCGCGACGTGGCGTTTCCTTCACCGTCAGGTGCGCCCTCGCGCTCCACCTTGAGCCGCACATCGGAAGCCTCCGAACCGGACGTGGTATTCTCCACCACCTTCAGACTCTCCCCTAATTTCCACAAAGCCATATCCGTCAGACGTAAAAATTGACGATAGCTGATGCTAGGCGGATAGGCCTGCGCGACCGCCCGCAGGAGGCTCGTCTGGTTGGCAATCCGGTAATGCCTGAGAAGGCGTTGAAGGTCGGAAAACGACAGCGGAAAGCGATGGAGGTGGAGGTCGTACGGGATGCTCTGGAGCGCGCTCTCACGCGTTACGCTCACCACCATCACCGGTCGAGAGGGGCTCGTCGGTGGGAGGCCGTCAAGCGAGTCCGCCGCCGTCAGGTCGCAATCCACGTCGCCGCCACCGCGGGCGAAGGTATCCAAAATCGCCTTCAACGCGTTCAGCTGATCTGGCAGGTTCGCCAGGCTATCCAGGAGGGCGTCGTAGTCCTCCAGCACGACGAGGCCGCGCTCGGAGCGCGAGGCCGCGCAGATCGCCTCCCGCACCCGCCGAACCCGCCCGGCGGGGTCGTGGGTGTGGCAGAGCCGTCGGCAGGAGATCAAATGAATCGGAAAGGAGGCGGAAAAGGAAAAGTGCTCGTGCGCGCGCGCGGCGAGCTGCCGCGCGAGGGTGGTTTTGCCACTCCCCACCCCGCCGGTTAACGCCACGACGCCGGAACAGACGTGGCGGCTGCGGTGCACCTGCGCGATGAGCTCCCGAACGCGATTCCAATTTCGCTCAAAGGTCCCGTCGTAGTCGACCACCTCGCCCCTCGCCTCCGCCCCTTCGAGCTCGTCCATCCGCTCGCCGCTGACGAAACCGGTGGCGTCTTTGTGGCGACGCACCTCCCGCAGCGCGCGATCGAAATCCTCGCCGCGAAGACGAAACGACGCCTCCCCGGGCTTGACTTCAACAAGTTCGGGCGAGGCCGCCGTCGGGGTGGGTTGCTGACGAAGAAGGGCGTGGCTGACGGCAACGCCGACGAGGTTGGCGAGATCCGAGCCCGAAAAGCCGACCGCACGCCGTGCGAAATCGCGGAACGAAACCCCGGGTGGCAAAACCCCTGCATCGCGGAGGGGTCTCGTGAGCGCGAGGATGATTTTCTCCCGCGCCCGCGCGTCGGGTGCGCGGATCGGAATCACCACCTCAAACCCCCCTGGCATCCGCAATTCCGGGCTCACCCCCTCGAGATGGGTGGCCAACCCAATCACCAGGAGATCCCCTGCGCGGTGGGGCGCCGCCAGGAGCGCGCGAAAAGCCTCCGTGGGGTCGTTCCCCCCCCCTCCCGCGGCCTCCCTCGCGCTCGGCGCCGGAAAGAACTTCTCCAACTCGTCAATGACGAGGACGTGGGTGGAGTTGGGGTCCGCCGGCGGGGTGA